ATCCACAATATAATAACAGTTTCCAGTAAACACAAACATCCCAGGGATGTCACATTCATGTGTCGCTAGGTTACAATGCGAATCACAAGAAAACATCATTGGTATTGCCAGGGGACTGTTCATTTCAAACAAAAATCGCAATATTCTTCTCATTCCAATGGATGTGAGACTTGAAATGTTGATGAATTCCTGAGGCTGCCTAACAACCAAGAGACTCACTGAATCCTCACATTCTTGTCTAATAATGTAACAAACCGAATAAAGTAATTTTCATGTTGAATGGGAAGTCCCCAGACAGCACTGGATATTCATAGAATATTCTCTAAATATGCTAAAAAGGAGGAGAATATTCCGAATATTCATCGATTATTCCTAGAATATATACATGCCTCTGGAACATCTGAAAGGAACATTCCAAAGTGAATAGTCGGACATGTTCAGGGAATATTCAGGTATGAATCTTCCAGGAATATTCCCAACTGAATATTCTCTGTTGTATATTCATGAAATATACCCAACTGAATATTCTGTGCGGTATATTCATGATATATACCCAACTGAATATTCTGTGCGGTATATTCATGAAATATTCTTAACTGAATATTCTGTGGTGTATATTCATGAAATATTCCATGAATATTCCTATGTTTCTCAACACATAAATACCATTTATTATTTCAGAGATGTGAGTATCGAACATCAATTAGATGTAAGGGGATTTCGAAACAAAAAGTGTTTATGATCCGATTTCAAACAATGCTCTCACAAGAACTTGATATGTATAACATTATTCAATTCGATTACTGGCCTAGTGGTCAAGGCGTTGCTCTGATAGTCTTGAGGTCACGAGTTCGATCCCTACTTGAGTCACTTTTTTTATTTTAGAATATGTTTATTGGAATATTCCAGGAACATTCAACATAGAATATTCTTTTGGGTATATTCTATGATTATCTGAGGAATTCCCATTCGCATATTTAGAGAATATTCCACAGATATTCCGGAATATTCCAGATTATTTCTAGAATATTCCAATATTCCAAAAGGAATATGATAGGGAGATTCATGGAATATCTGGTGCTGTCTGGGTCACTTAATGCATTACTGCAAGTTTCATTTCGCATCGTAATGTGAATCATAAAATTACCAAAAGGGTCCAGAATAGCAGTCATTGTGATATCAGTGGGACTCGCGATTCGAGTCACGGATGTGATTTGTGGCTTGAATGTGATGCTCTCTGATATCTCTGGGATCAATCTGTGTTAACTGGGTTTCACCAAACAAAATTATGGAATTCTTTCTGGTTCCAACTCGGAAAGAAAAGAAGCCCACTTATTCTGGTTTTATATGACAAATCTTGACGAAATACAATATGTTTGCCTCTCAGAAACCTGTTGAATGACGTAATTCTGGAATGATTAATAATTTGCTTCTTTATAATAGTTGTGTGTTGTGTTCTCTATTATATCTGCAGTAAGTATTCAATCCAGAAAATTAATTTCTTATTCTGATTGAAAATGACAATCAGGAATATTATTGCAATCGATACGTAAGTCAAATCCCAAATGGTGTTTTCGGATGATTACGTCACGCGTTTTCCCGCATTTTTCATGTTATGGAATATCGTGACTTTCAATAACTATTCAAAAAAGTTACAGAGCTCTGAGGGCAAAACGGTTTGCGACAGTGAACAAATTGGGGTTAGTACTTCGAAATAATGAAATAAAATTTTTCACTGAAACAGGCACATTCATTGAACATAAAATTTCACCTGTGACACAAGGAACTCGATTGATGCGATTATTGCTGATTCTGCTAACTCGAAAAGTATCGGCTATAACCCCCTGATTCATAGATTCAATAACGTAATGTAACGCATACTCGATAGAAGATTGAAGATTTTTCCAGTATACTGGGGTTGGGTTTATTGTTTGACTCACATTAGGAATTGGTTATGGTTCAGTTCCTTGAATCTCATGGAATCTTTTCAGACCGTCAGTTTGGGTTCAGGAAAAACCGTAGAACAACCTTGGCCAATCTAGACTTGACTGTGTCTCCTACTCTTTACTCCTAGAGGAACTTGAACGAAATAATAATCCATTAAAATAGCATCACTACTCTGAAATGAAGGAGTGAATCGAACAAAAGCGTTATAACTGTAGGTGTCCCCCAAGGATCAGTTTTGTCACCACTCTTGTTTCTAACGTACATCAATGACTGTATAGATTCACCTGCAAAATTCACCCTCTTTGCAGATGACACTACAATTAGCTATACTTCAGAACAATTCAGAATCATATGATGAAGTATTAGAGGTTTCAAGAGAATGCCAAAAATCGGTTCTCGGCAAACCTCTTGTTCTTAAACGAGCCTAACAACACGACTGAATACTCTATTCACTTCACGGGAATAACCAGACTGTGAAAACCCACCTACTGTAGGGTTTCTGATGGGAGTTCTCTCAAATTTCCGATTAAACTGAAGGCCACATGTAGAAAAAGTATGCAATAAAACTAAACACGAACATGTTCTAAGAAAACTTTCTCAGTGTATACATGGAATGGTTGTAAGACAGTGCTATTTTTCTCTCTGTCATAGCCACATTTCTTATGCGATATTGGTCTGGAGACATGCTGCAATAAGTGATGTTGGGGTATTCAAAATCCAACTACGGATCACATATTTATCGAAAAAATCGAACGACAAATGAATTATTCAATATTGAAAATGCTATTTCAATACCTGTGAATTCAAACGCTACTGAGCTGTGATGTCAAGTGTATTCGGGCAATTTGATTGGTTGGAGCTCTGCGAGTGGACAATTTTTTTTTCATTTCTTAAATAGAATCATCACCTTCAAATTTAATTTATTTTAAGAATATTTCGGTCGATTTTAAGGGGCTTAAATCATCAATAATGCCACGGTAACTTTCAAACGGCTAGAAATTTACCGCCAGTAAAAACTGATGCAACGATTTCATAAGTAGGGGCAGACCATAGCACAGTTGCCTTGTGTTGAAATAAAATTATGAACTTCAGAAGTATTAGTTATTCAATTATTCATAATTTCTCTATTGCAGTATTGGTAATATTCCTAATAGCTATAAAAATTCAATTGTCTGAAAATGTTCCCTTATGATCTGTGGCTAATGGCTTATAATAAATTTGTGTAGATAATAATTATATTAATTCACACTAGAGGCCATTTGGATCGGTGAACGTGACAACCCCTCGCACGACTCGTGGGCGTGGTCTTATAGTCTTATCAGTTCTAAGCATTCAGCAGAATGTTGACATGTCTCCAACATTCACATGATATTTTTTCATGGGGAATGAGGAATATTTGGACATGTTGGTTGTTCGAAAAAGTCAAGAATGAACTATAATGTTATGAGTGCCTCCTATTATGATTTATTCAACGACAGGACTCAAACTCTCAAACATCTTTTCGATAACTTGTTTATAATTGGTGACTTGACAACCTGTGGAAATGGAAGATTATCTGACCAATAATGAAACAGCAAAAAAACTGACATCACCATTTATTGACGACGTATCGCCAAATGGCGGCCATGACGTTACGTTTGAAATGAGCTCTGAAATTCAATGATTTTGAACAACAAATATAGTCTTAATATTTACATGAAAAAATGCATGAGAAGAGTTGTAAAAATAAATGTAGGTTCCTATAGCAGCACAGTGAAGTAATTGAATGCCAATAATTCATTATCAGTCCACTCGCCTATTCACATAGTAATTGATCATTGTGGGAATAGTTGATTGGTAATTCACTGCTGATCACATTCAATTTACTCTGAACTCCATAAATCCGTGTATTCCATTAGTTTCAATATTAGCTTGGATAAAATGTAACGCAGACATCTAGCAGTAAGATCAACTTTTTATATATTTAGTTGGGTTTTAGTTATGTTGAAATTTCGTTGACTAATTGTTAAAATCAATAAAATGATCATTGTAACTGTATCTCAAGCACTCATTTCCAGAAAATTTTATTGCTAATCTAGCAACTATACATGTCTACAAGCGAAAGAGATGAAGCAACTGGCGCTAAAACAAATATATACCTACAGGTAGGGCATCTTAAAAAGCAACACCATAACACCAATAATATAAAAGGAATGGAATTTGTGGTATGCTCTTCGAATCCCTGAGAATCATCAGTCTAGGGCCTAGGCCAACATTTGGAGTTTTTTGGAAATTAATGTTATCCTATTCTGCATAAAACGGGCTATCGGGAATGAGTGATCACCAAAATGTTGACAGTAAAGTTGTCATAGGTTCTCGAAAACACAAAGCATTGGCTGAGCCAGTATTACACAACTAGAACTAGGATCCCAAAATTCTCTCGTTTCAATACTTGTACGCTTTTTTATTGAATACGACTGTACATATATACCATATACTTAATAGCGTTATTTGGCATGAGAACTCCAAACCACTTCATTTCGTTGGACTTTTCCAAGCTTAGCTCATTTGACACAGGAAATAGATGACACCACATACCGTTCCTTCGAAATTTCATTACAGGGCGATTTTGGCGATTTTCGCTGAATGAATAGTCATGTATAACTCGTCAGAGAGTGTAGATATTTAGCCGGTCAGAGAGTGTAGATATTTAGACGTCATTGCTACAGGCAGCTACAGGTATTATTACTTTGTTGAGCATCAATTTCTGACAAATTGACCGAGAAGTCAAAAAGTATTAAGAGTCCAAGGATACGTATAGAGTTTATAATCCTTGCGTAGAGAAGCATGTCAAAAGGGATGTGAGTGCGCCTTTAGGTGTATATTTAAAATTAGGTCACTGATCATAGATGGCAGCAGGTAAAACGTCAAAAATCAAAACAAGAGTAGGTGTGACACAGACAGCAATTTTTGAAATAATAAATAAAAAATAATATCTTTTTGATATCACAATTCACATTCAATTGCAAAATACTTATTGAAAAGTAGTTCTAATATAATATACTATACTCATCATGTCTCAAGATATAATACTAACAGGTAAGGAAATCCAATAGTTTTTCTAAAAGTCACAATACTATTCACTGCAATAACATATTAATTTTCTCAGGTAATTTAGATATGCTGCACAGCTTATATGACTTCAAAGCAACTTATGCCAAAACTTTAAGCTTTAAAAGCAACGAATACTTTTTATTACACCAGACAAACACAAAACATAAGAATTGGTGGGAGGTCATCAATGAAAAAGGTGATATGGGCTACATTCCTTCCAATTATGTTGAAACAGTCACAGTGAATCCTTCCTTCTATATCCAATTCCTAGATAGCTGCTTGGAGCACTTGAGGAAAGATAATCCATCAGAATGTACAATTGGAGACAAAAATGAAGTTATATTAAGATTGAAGGAGTTGAAGAGACAAACAGAGCAGCTTCCAGAGGTATCTAGGAACTCACTTGGAGTTGACAGTGATGATATGCCACCATTATTGTTCAAAAACTCGGATGGCAAGTTAGAAACTATCAGAACCATATCTACTACTAGCAGTTATTCTTCCAATTTATCAGAACTAAGGCAGTCTTCCAAATCTATTGTAGATGACTCAGTACACAAAGACACACCTACCATACAGAAACAAGAATCAAAACCTGAAATTTATAATGGTAGAAGGAAATCTGAGTCTAACACTACCATTTCCACAAACAGTAATATTTCTCCAGCTATATCACATCAGTCTGTATATGATTTGGTAGAAAATGTTAGGATCAATACCCAGCTATCCCATGAAATGTCACGTATAGCATTAGTCACAGTTGTTCAAGGACTCCATGAGTTATTGCCAGCATCAGTGTTTCCCTATTTGAGTACAATTTTGTCTCATTCTCAAACATCATTGGTTGATGATGTGCAAATTGACCAAACTCATGATGCTAGTCGCCTAAAGATTATATTTAATGAACTGACTTCTTGTAAAGAAGATTCTCAGCAACGTAGCTGGATGTTACATGAAGATGAAGATGTCATCAAGGAATATATTGTTGAACTCATTTCTATTTTGGTAAGTGTTATATTGAGGATAAAACTGATAAAAGTACATATGGGTACAGTTGTATTAAAAAAAACATTCAAGCATTAGAGAGAGAAATTAACATCATCCTATTTGCATATCTGAACAAAAATATCAATTAGAAAAATCATTTGGAATACCTGCCATAGTGTTGTCAATGTTCTGCATGATTGAATATGGGTACACAGGAGTCCTTTTAATTAGATATAGACCAAGATATAGACCATTTCTCCCAATATCTAGGGAATTGAAAACAATTTAGTTTATTAAAGAACTTCATAAAAAGATAGAAGGCAGATGTCTATAGTTCAACTATTCTCTGGACTATTCTTCATCTCTGTGGATGTATGAGTGTTGAAAGTTCTACCTGTAGGCAAAAATTGGACCAAAAGTAGACCACTTGAAAACATGTCATTTCAACAAAAAAGTGGTTGCAATAAATGAATTTGAAACATGTCACCTTTGACACCATGTATCTCCTCCATACATAACAATATTTCATTAAGGCAAGTTGACTAGCATTGGAATATTCAAATCATAATATTGTGAAGTATAAAATCTACTATGATTTTATTTATTTCCAATAGGAACCCAGTACTGGGTGTCAAAATGTCACTGTGCTAAAAATGTTCCAAAGAAAATTTCAGTCAATTCTCTATGACACCTTGTTTGAATAATGTTTGAGGAAGATGAATAAAGGTTTATGAAAAAAATTTAGGAAACAATATAAAACCATTGAGTATTCACACTAGTGTATATAATCAAGGATAAAACTCTATTTATCTTCATATAATTAAAGAATCAATCTGATGATTTTGAGATAATTCCTTACTACAGATTTTTTGATATAATACTAATATTCATATTTATAGAGACCAGGAGAGAAAACTTGAAAAATCTAGGGTAATGAAGGGAAATGAGCTCAATTATTTTCTTCACATGTCAAAATCTGACATTCTGGTGATTACAACCAATAATAAAATAATGCATAATTAATTCCACATGAATGGAAGTTCAACCACAAAACTCGTTATACCATAATTTAAGGCTAATTTAAACTCTAATCCTAGCATATTGCCGATTTTTTCGCAGATTGTTTAAAAAAAATCATGGGTTTTGCTAGCTCAACTGTTAAATTAGCAGAACCAAATATCAAATAGAAGAAATATAAGAATATTGAGTACACTATAATTCAAGGCAAATTTGAGACTCTAGTGAACCTGTTATTGATTTTATGGTTCATTATATCCTGCAAAAAAGTTCCCAAATGCAACATGAACATGACAAACCAATAGCAAATCAAAAAAGTTTAATCAGGAAACAAATTATATCATATTTTAAGGCTAATTTGTGGCTCTAATCTTAGTCTTGCCGATTTTCCTACACATTGTTTAAAAAAAGAACATGGGTTTTGCTAGATCAACCATTGAGAACAAATATGAGGATATCCACTACACCATAATTTAAGGCTATTTTAAGGCTCTTTGTTGAGCATATCATCGGTTTTGTTGTTACACATTGTAGGCGAAAAAAAAATCCAAATACAACATGAACAAGAAAGACCAATAGCTAATCAAAAATAAATAATATCTAATCACAAAATCAATTATACCATAATTTGAGGCTCATTTAGGGCTCTAATCCTAGCATATTGTCGATTTATTCACACATTGTTATTTTCAAATCATTGGTTTTGCCGAAAGGGCTAGCTTAACCATTTTGATAGCAGAACTTAATCTCAAATTAAAGTAATTAAGGATATTGAGTAAACCTCGGAGGCTCATTGTTCAGCCTATTATCGATTTTTTTTCAATCATTTTTTGCATAAATTTTTCCAAATCCAACAAAAACATTATAAACCTAGCAAATCAAATAAAGTTCAATCACAAAACTAATTATACCTTAATTTAAGGCTAATTCGAGGCTCATATTCTAGCCTATTTCCGATTTTTTCGCACATTGTTTTTTTTTCTAAAGTCATGGGTTCTGATAGCTTAAACGTTGAGCTAGCAGAACCAAATCTCAAATAGAAGGAATGTAAGAAAATTGTGTACACCATAATTAATTGCTATTTTAAGGCCTATCATCGATTTTATTGTTCATAATTTTTTGCAAAAATTTTCCTGAATCCAACATGAACATGACAAACCAATAGCAAATCAAGAAAGTTCAATCACGAAACTAATTATGGTGTACTCAATATCCTTATACTACTTCTATTTGAGATTTTGTTCTGCTAGCTTAATGGTTAAGCTAGCAAAACCTATGATTGAAAAAAACAATGTCCGAAAAAATCAGCAATAGAATATGATAAAGCCTTAAATTAGTCTTAAATTATGGTATAAACGATTTTGGTGATTGAACTTTTATTTACGAAATGGTTCTGCTAGCGTTTAAAGCTAGCAGAACCTATGTTTTTTGCATAAATGGAAGAGCAATGAATTCGGCAATACGGTAATGAGTTAGCCTTAAATGAACAATTGACAAATCTAATGTGATTCTGCTACCTTAATGGAGGTTAATTTCAGCAAATCATTCGGTATTATACTGAATATTCTACTCTTGTTTTCGAGAACCAATTAGAATCAACCATTTTCACTCGTGATACTATTTATCCTGGATATATTCGTCGACATACTCCAGTTTGCTGCTTTAATTTTGCTCATGACGTTGTTCCAAAACTTCTCGCCTACGGCTTGATAGTCATTCGCGAAATTACTAGGCAACAAGCTATCGTAACAATCGCCGATTTCTGGAAAAATAGTAAAATCAAACTCGAGATCATACTTCAATTCTCCGAGAAAACAACACGTACATAACCTTTTAAATCACCATTCAACTCGACACAAATGATTTCTTTCAAAGGTTATATTATATTATGATGTACGCACCCTCGTTTTCGATCACCGACAATGAATGCAACTTGCAACCTTTAGAACCATTTCATCGATCATAATCGAAGGACGCATAATTAATTTTGCTTGTGAAATTTGCTAGTGATTAAGTACATTTCTTTTTATCAAATGAGTGAAAAAAATACTCTTTCCAAATTCAACTCGTTCTTAAAAAAATCATTATTCCTCTCTTTTCCTCCCTAGCAGGCAATACCAGTCAAACGAACAGTTCTAAAGTACACGTGATGTTATCAATGGGTTTGTGTTCATAGTTTTGCCAAATGATAATTATTTGTTTTACTAGGCAGAAAAGTACAAGATTCAATGCCGCGGCTGGCGTTTCATAACCTAGGCGTAGCCTTGATATCTTCTGTTAGCGTTGCGGTTTTCGTTAGTCTATTGAGATTTAGTTTCTCTATTCACCATTACATTATTTTTTTTAAATCATGATATCCATTGATACTCTAGATCACGCCCTCTTGCGGCAACGGTGATATGAATATGAAACTAATTCAAATCACAGTTGATAAAACAGGAAGAGGCCTTCTATAACGAGCCCAAGATTGTTCAATTCTGTTGAAGATAACCAGTTACAGACGTTTAAAAAAAATCATAATTTGACGTTCCCCCACCACTTTACTTCCTGAGATGGGACAAAAAGCGTGAAATGAAAAAAAAAAACGATTAATTTATCGAGGATCAAACTGCATGTAATTTCAATTTTCACCTAGCGGTTATTTTAGAAACCTAAAAATATTTTCCAGTTATTTCAGGGTCACTTTTCTCGAGATATATGTTTTTCAAAGTTTTATCATTATTCGTTGCTGAGATATGGCCGACAACCGTTCTCAGATCTTCACCCTAAACTCAACTTTCCAGTCAAATGCTGATGCTGGTATATCGAGACACGTAATATCTTCTGACCAATACCATGTGATCACCGTCCTCATTCAGTATTACCAGATGGAAGTTAGATGGTCCATCAGGCAGCTGCTTCTGCAGGCTTTCGGAGTGCTCTGCAGCCTGGACAAAACTGTCATCAACATCATGTTGAACTCAGTTCTGCCTGGAGAATTGGCGAGGTATTTGCTGTGATGGTCACTTGAAGTGGTCTACCTGAACGTTTCGAATTCCCTACCCAAATTCATATGAATAAGAGGAAAAAATATAGCAGCATGTTACTTATTTCATTTGAGGAATCAGACACACTTTTGAAATTTGAAACCTAGAATCTTAAGACTAAGATATTCAAAGGGAATTCCGTGAATCGATCGTCAGCCTCGTCGTCAGCTTATACAAGACATAAAGTTCTGGCTTTCCTAGCCTCATCAGTTGCACTAGGCAGGGCCGTTCCTGTGTTAGTGTGCGCCCTGGTGCAAACGAGAAATTGCCGCCCTTTGTGGAAACAAAAAATTTATAGATCCGTAATTTTACTATGTTTTTGAAACATTTGCAATACCACCATCCTAGTGACGCCAAGATGAAAAAACTCAATAATATAGCAACGCAATTTTATAATACATACTTCTATATCAACATAAATAAATGTAATCTAAATATAAAACTGATCAACACACAAAAAAAAACTAATAAAGTATTGCAAGGAAAAAAAGCCATAATATAATTAGTAGAAATCGACTTTTCGCGCATAGCATTTGCAAAATCTTTGTCAACATCATTAACATTTAATGGCTCACATATCTCATTTTCTATAGGAATGATTTTATCAACTTTGAGAATGAGCGCCCTCCACTTGCTATACGGTGACAGGCAGAGTTAACATAATTCTCAATACTATGGTCAATTTAGGAAAAGCACTCTGTACAACGTTTATTGAAATATATTCTAGAACACTTTCAGGTGAATATACTTCTGAGATATTAATGAAATTGGTAATAATTTCAACTCCATATTGCAAAGGTCAAGTCCTAAGACATCTTTTTTACAGTTATCATCATTTTCATCAGATAATTTCTGCTCTAACTCAGCAAAATATTTTCAAATCATCATTTGTCATTTTTGTCAAATTCCGAAAATCGCTCAAATGATCGAAAATATTTCTATAAGCCTGAAACTGTTCAAACTTCTCCGCTAAAGCATTTGACAACTGCGAGGTCGAAGAAAATTTGAAATATCCAAATCTTTATTTTTTAAGAATGACAGGACTCAATAACTTCCTTTGAAAAATTGCACTATGAAAAAATGCCAAGTTCCAGATATAATAGAGTCGGCGAGTTCAAGTGTCGGCGACAGCTTTGAATTCACCGACATCGGACACATCGTTGATCGGACCAAATACAGTGGCGGGGCGGCATTGTAAATACAAGGCGCCGCCCTTCTTACCTTGCCGCCCTGGTTCCTCGCACCACTCGCACCCCCGGGTAGGAACGGCCCTGGCACTAGGCCGCTGACAATCGATTCACAATACAATCTCTTAGGCCGTGAATATAATATGTTGGAGCAGTGATGATAGGCGATTCAAAATAAGCGATACGCCCTCTTGCAGATATTCGAGTAACTAATGGAAAGTACATTGAATGTTTGTTTACATTCAAGTTTCCATCCATTTCATCGAAATTCTTCAGTAGAGTATCTTGAATCATCATTACTCGGTTTCATGAAGGTTTTCTCACTGTATTTCACAGAAAATGATAATTTCAATCAGTGTATAGTTGAGAGATTGTCTCTCAACTATGATATTGAATTCAGTTGCATTGCATTCCCAGACGTGGAAAGTTACAGAAGGAATTTGCAAAAACGAAATCCTCACTCAAAAGCAAAGCACGCGTATATGTACAGTATGATGCAAATGTATGGAATAAATTCATTATTTCAGAAATGGGCGACATTTGGAAAAATTCCAAAAACACGTGTTTTAATTTCTGAAGCCACATCTCATGATATTCATTTGAGAGATGTTACGTCACCGGTGTTGGAGTAAAGACGTAATGGACGATTTTTTCAAATACAAATAGGGGTCATGTGACACCTTGATTGAAAGGTCTACCGATCGTCTATTCAACAGTCAAAATGTTGCATAAGAAGATTGAAATCAAAATGGATTATCATGTGATTAATTGAATCTTGCAGAGGTCTGCTATTGAGAATTGAACATCGAAGGTTCGTCTAGTTAAAAAAATACGTCGAAAAAAGTTCTAAACTCTAGTTTTTGTTTTTTTTTTCGAAAGTTGTCTTGTTCTGAAATGAATTTATTCCATACATTTGCATCATACTGTATATAAAATGTTCAATTTTTCCTACTAGGTAGATCAATTATTCGCACATACATCGAGTTTTGAGGACTTTTTTTCTTTCATAAGTACATATAGAATATAGATGAATCAACTACATTGAATACATCTCACATACCTATTCTGTGAACTTCAACATAATATTAACTCTACTGTATTTGCAATATTTATTTTACTACTAAATGGAAAACCTCAGATTGGGCATTTTTAATTTGCTAACCTCATGTATTTGAAGTAGTGAAACATACTTCATTGTAGGAAAGTCTGCTGAAAAGCTCCCTCGAATCAAGAGTACTTACACAAACAAACAGTCAAAAGGGAGGGTTTCGTTGCTCACTTTAAAAGAATCGAAATAAACACACATGCGAACGGACCATTTCAAAAAAATGTACTTTCATATAGTTCCACAACCGGCCACTTTGTCGCTGCTATCTTAAATTCAGTCGCCTAGTGTTTATTTCTTCGCCATTCAATGACAGATAGTATCGATTGACGATCAGTTAACGTAGTTAAGCAGAAAATGTAATGCTAAACAATGGATACCCACAAACTGAAATCAAAAGTGTATTTAATAGGTTCACTTCTGTTCGATCGAAGATTCACAAATATCCAAATAAAAAGCGGAATATAGTAGCGGCTACATTGAACAAAACACGTTTCTATTGACACAGCGCATATTGAATTGATTATCCATCATGATATGATTCTGAATAAAAATCTAATATAACCTAACAAATTGTGTAGTAAGTATTAGCTAATTTTTTCCAGCCGAAATATATGTTGGGTCTTTTATTTATGATGTTCAAGACCATTTCAGTTAGGAATTTGGAAACGAAAATTCGTAAAATTTCGTTAATAATCGCTTTAATCGACTTTTTTATTGATCTTGTTGCCGCTCCAACATGTTCACAGCCTAAAGGCGGATTCATGCACGCCTCTTTTTCATTTATCTGTAGTTTCACAATCATTAACGATTTCACTAATGAGTTGAAGTATTTCCGTTCAATCATTTATGCACCCAAAGTAATTTTTATCTTTCATCAACTTTTCCCTAAAAGATTACCAACTTTTATCTCTCAACGACACGTACAAGTAAAAGAGTAAAAGTATGTGACTTGCGCAGGTGCGATTCTGTCAGAAGTCAGAAATACAATTTCTTCTTCTTATTTTTCGAAATGTGATTGAAAATTCACAAAATGTCATCTTCATAATGTGAGCAGTGGAGAGAACACCAATATTTTCATCGGACTGAGTACGCTGAGGACTGTTTGAGTCATGAAGAGGAGTTTAAAGTTGAGAAAAAGGTAGTGCATGAGGTCATCAAAGTCATTAAATTGAAATAAATTTAATGACGATTGGGATTTGAGGTTTCCCATCATTTTTCAGTGGGACCTTAAACCATTTCGAGATTTCCAGAGTTGTGACATTTTGCCTCTTTGTAGCGCTGACGTAGGTTTCTACATTCGACTCATTCACAGAGTGTGGTTATTTAAAGAGTCTACTAATAGACCTTTACAATTTCGTTACTAGATGGTTCTGAAGGCTAGATCTTCCTTATCCCCAATTTGAGCTTTGCTTTGTGACATATATTGGGGTTTCCATCTAGAAAATCGATTGTTAGTTAGCAACTATCCTTGTACAACTGATGAGGCTTGTCAAGCCAAAACAGTCTGCCTTGCATCAGCTGACAACGATGTTACAAAATATTCTGAAGCAGAAAAGTATTAACAATTTTAAGTAACAGAAAATGTAATATTCTCGGTTAAATTATTCAAAATGACTAAGGTAGACCACTTCAAATGTCCGTGCGTATATTTATTGGAGAATTGAAACAATCCTCTTTTCAAAAAGTTACGTTTCTATTGCAGAGATATAATGTCGAATCCTAGGAACATTCCGAAACTGAACTACTCTTCTTTGCTTTTGACGATGGTTTTCTCTATGGGCGAACCAATGCCTGTCACACATTATGGTAAGATAAAAACGATGTTTATCAATCTTGATTTAGTTATACCGGGTGTCGGGCAAGTCGATGTGAACATTTTAGGAACTGACATGATACGTCATTTGAACTTATTCAGCCACATTTATCTCCGTTCAAATTCGAACAGTCTTCGAGATATTCGCAATTTTGAAATTTTTTGAAACATTTTTAGTATTTACAGACCTCATGTGAAATGTACAACCAATGCATGATTTATCTAAGAAGCATCTACAGGGTGTATCTAAATAACGCGGAAAAAATTCAAGGGGTGATTCCTTGTTTTATTCTAGCAAATAAAGTTCATATAAACATTTTGTCCTTACTTGCTCCGTTTTTGAGATACAGGATGTTGAAGTTGGAAGTATTAATTGTTTTTATTTCTAACCCCCCTTTATAAGCTTTCATGGTGCCAAAATTCAGTATGGTTGGAGACTGAGAAAGCCAAAAAATTTCAAAATGATTGTACTTGGGGTTATATTGAGTAATCTCAATGGAAGTCTTGAAAAGATCTACATTGAATTTGTCAAATCGAATTTTATTTGTTTCCTCAAAAACTAAGTTAGATACAAAAATCACACAAGGGATAAAAAAAGTTGTTATTTAAATAGTTCAATCTAATAAATAATAAATATATGAATCTCAGAAAAACCGGTGGTGTACAATGACATTCACCATAAATATCGATAAATTTACCCACTGTGACGCCACTGGAAATATTATTTTGAATCTAATTGCACCAGAAGAAGCTCCATATTACTATTATCATAATCACAACGTTTTATTGAAATTGATGAAAAGATAATAGAGTAATGAATAAAAAAACGATCTTTCATGGAAATATTAATACCCTGTATCTCTGAAACAAAACAAGTTAGGACAAATGTTCATATGAACTTCATTTTTTTTATCACTTGGAGCGCACGGAAGGGAATCCCTATAATGTTCAAAGAACATCGTGCGTTCCTAGGGAGGATAGGGATAGGAGGTAGGTATTGGAATTGTTTTTGAATATTTTCGGTGTTATTTAGAGACGTTTAGTATAAGTATAATGATATTTGCCAGAGATTGAAAATAAAGGACCCCGCACTTTTAGTACGTAAAATGGTTCTCGGTGAAATTTTTTGAATTTTCAGAATGTTGTAGAATTCAATGAACTGATTGAACCTGCAGAATCGTAAAGTTCTTCGATGAACAGATTCTGAGATACAGGGCGTTGAAGTTACAAATCGGTATTTTTCATTTAATTATTTTCTCGAAATTCAAAGATGCCAAGTACAATTTTCTTCGCTCATATCATTAACGAACCTCCATATTACTCAACATATTCAGATGGTTCAGATGATGTAATTGTTTACAGAGTGAAACATATAAACATTTCAGTGATGTCTGAAAATTCGATGTAATAATGAAATATCGAAAAAATAATTTAGGCATGCAATAAACTATTCTCATTCCATCATGAATCACAATTCATACATTTCATACAGGGTGATTTGAAAAATTGGTGACATTTAAGACCGATTCATTCATACACATCCTGTATATTCGAGTGAATTGTTAACCTCCCAAGATAGCTGATACCGTATGAACATGATTTCGTTGAGATATATAGAGTGATCATGAAGATTTTCGATGATGAAAATGACAAAAATCGTGTTTTTTGTAATCACCCTGTTATTCATGATTAACTCGGTGAAATTCCCTAATTATTTTTTAATATATTCATCATTCGCTCCTCAACGCTGTCTTGAAAATGCAGTTTCCTATCATGACGGGTGTCATAGTTATTAATTCAGGAACTTACCATTTGCATGAAGAGTTGAAGAGACTTGTTCACTTACAGTTCCTGAATTAATAACTATGACACCCGTCATGATAGGAAACTGAATTTTCAAGACAGCGTTGAGGAGCGAATGATGAATATATTAAAAAATAATTAGGGAATTTCACCGAGTTAACCATGAATAACAGGGTGGTTTCAAAAAACACGATTTTTTGTCATTTTCATCATCGAAAATCTTCATGATCACCCTATATATCTCAACGAAATCATGTTCATACGGTATCAGCTATCTTTTGGGAGGTTAACAATTCACTCGAATATACAGGATGTGTATGAATAAATCGGTCTTAGGTGTCACCAAGTTTTCAAATCACCCTGTATGAAATTATGAATTGTGATTCATGATGGAATGAGAATAGTATATTGCATGCCTGAATTATTTTTTCGATATTTCATTATTATATTGAATTTTCAGACATCACTGAAATGTTATATGTTTCACTCTGTAAACAATTACATTATCTGAACCATCTGAATCATGTTGAGTAATATGGAGGTTCGTTGATGATATGAGCGAAAAAAATTGTACTTGGCATCTTTGAATTTCGAGAAAATAATTAAATGAAAAATACCGATTTGTAACTTCAACGCCCTGTATCTCAGAATCTCTTCATCAAGGAACTTTACGATTCTGCAGGTTCAATTAGTTCATCGAATTCTACAACATACTGAAAATTCAGAAAATTTCACCGAGAACTATTTTACGTACTAAAAGTGCGGGGTCCTTTGTCGATGGACCTCAAGAATATTAGCAACATTGCAGCAACATTTCTAAACATTGCAGTTGCACTATACAAGTATAATATTGCTGCAATATTTCTGAAAGATTACAAATGCAACTCCCATATATGCAATATTGTGGCCATATTTGCTGAATATTTCTTGCAGTGTAGGATGTTATATACAGGGTGTCCGCTAAAACGAGGTCAATCCATTAACCATATATTCCTTGAACAAAAACAATATGAGTTTCTAAATACCATTTCTCATTTTAGCCCTTCATATTCGATATACAGGGTGTCAAAGTTGGAAATTAAAAACTGTTTTTCTTCAATTACTCGCGTATTTGAGGGGATATTGATCTCAAAATTGGTACATTACTTCAACACAAAGAGTTACATTATGTGAGGAGAACAAAACAGAAAATAACTATCAAATATTCAAAATACTGGGGATCAATTACACACTTACCCCCATATTTTTTTTGTACGTGCGCTAATGTCTTTCTATCTATTTTCCTCCAAGTGTTCAATCATTTTTGAGTATTTTTTGTCTCTTGTGAAATTTCGATAAAATCATTTGTGTTTGAGATAATTCGAGTACTGGTTATTGTTTGATGCCTATGTGGCTTACGGTAAATAAATTGCTGGATATGACCTCCAATTTTTTGAATACACATGCGAGCTCTTTTAATCAAAGAAAATCTTAGCCTTTGAAAAATATGTGGCTTATACACAAAATCTTTCATACATCCCCAGACAATCCTGATCTGCTATTTCTTTCATCAAGTAGCTATTAAAATCATGGATAGATATCATAATTTCACTTAAAATTTCCGAAAATATTTTTTTTTAATTTTTTTTCGATTATATTTCCTGTTCGTTCTTGCCCGACATACCCTTTTTAAGAATTATTGAATTGATTTTTTTCGAGAACAGCAAATTTTTTTAAATTCTTTCAAAATCGGTTTGAGCGGTTTTGGGGGTGCGAAATTTTTTAAAAATATTTCCTAGCCCCCCCCGTATGGTATGTCGGGCACGAACAAACAGGAAATGGAATCGGAAAAAAATGAAAACAAAATATTTTCGGAAATTTTAGGTGAAATTATGATATCCGTGATTTTAATAGCTACTTGATGAAAGAAATAGCAGATCAGGATTGTCTGGGGATGTATGAAAGATTTTGTGTATAAGCCACATATTTTTGAAAGGATAAGATTTTCTTAAATTAGGACGGCTCGCATGTGTATTCAAAAAATCGGAGGTCATATCGAGCAATTCATTTAGACGTGTTGAACTTCTATCAATTTTTTTTGTAAAAATTATTTTGATACATTCGCTCCAGTATTTCCATATTCACCTTTTCGTACGTAAAAAGTTACGCCCTCTTCCAATTTCGACGGAATAAATAGGAGTACATGAACATTATGAGATTACTGTAAGCCACATAGGCATCAAACAATAACCAGTACTTTTCGAATTATCTTTAAAACAAATGATTTTATCGAAATTTCACAAGACACAAAAAATACTCAAAAATGATTGAACACTTGAAGAAAAATAGATAGAAAGTCATTAGCGTACGTACAAAAAAAATATGGGGGTAAGTGTGTAATTGACCCCCAGTATTTTGAATATTTGACAGTTATTTTCTGTTTTGTTCTCCTCACACGATGCAACTCTTTGTGCTGAAGTAATGTACCAATTTTGAGATTAATATCTCATTAAATACGCGAGTAATTAAAAAAAAACAGTTTTCAATTTCCAACTTTGACACCCTGTATATCGAATATGAAGGGCTAAAATGAAAAATGGTATTTAGAAACTCATATTGTTTTTGTTCAAGGAATATATGGTTAATGGATTGACTTCCTTTTAGCGGACACCCTGTATTTCTTGTTTCATTTAATTTGGCCTCTACTTCAAGATTTCACATTGGAAACAAAATAAGGCCTGCTTCAGCCTAACCATAACTAGAATTTTTGTATTTATCTATCACTGTTGCTCTGTAAATTTTCAAGGCTATATCTAGGAAATTTTGTGGAATTTTGACATCAACATGCTACAGTTATGCCTACTGTTGAAACTGAAAATGTTCGCCCTCATGCGTCGCCCTATATTGAATTATAACTACAAGATGTGAACAATAAGCTTCTATTGCGATGTCCGTATGTCTCGTGCTCTACATTTTCTTACTTTTTTTCGTCTTAGATTTACTAGGAAAGAGATTTTTGGCATTCATATTAGACAATATCGAATATCCCCCTGATACCGACTTGGACGAACAAATACCAGACTTGTTCCTGAATTTGGTGATTTCGTTCAACCTGCAATTTTCCGAAGAAATTGAAAATCCAGTCTTGGCTGCTTTGGAAGATAGGGATGTTGCTAAAAGTTTCACGGAGAAAATATTACTGCTCATCAATAGAGAAGGTAAGAACATGAAATTCCATTGTTAAACCACCCATGAGAATGTATAATGGAAAGTTTTCCATATTTGACAAAAATATATGCCTACCGAGGCATGATTCTAAGCTGTTGACATTATTTTATGATCAATTATGTCACAAAATTCTTTGATTTTCATTTCTCACACCGATTAATGTATAGAAACAAAAAGTTCTCACTGTCAGTAGAAATTCCATATTTCAGATAGTCTGAGAATGTTTTGTAGAAATAATCAAGATGTGTCTAGAGTCACGTTCAGAAACACATTGTATGATTGTTTTTAATTTGTCATAGTTTTCATGACTTCAATTATTTTTTCATTTATTTCAGAGGATCCTGTGAGGATCTTTGACCATGAACCTGCCCCACCACATTCCCTTTTGAAATTGTTTATTGATCTCTTCAGTCGACGATCGACTGCTGATTTATTTTACACCAATGACGTCAAAGTATTGATTGATATTGTAGTGAGGAATATTTCGGACTTATCACCCGGAGATACGGTAAGTAGAAAATGTACGATATAAGTATCATAAACATCCATCTTACTATATGAGACCAGAAATTTGTCAATAAGGCCGTCTGATTGTCGAGTTTTTAACTCATCGAATTTATGAAATTTGTAACTGTTATTCCTACTACCAATAACTCAAATTAATGTAGGTAGAATACCACTACATCATTTTTGTTTATATTATTTATTCAATGAAACATTTGTACCCTCTTTGTTAAATAATAACAATGCGGTAAAGTTTGATATTACTACACTAATATCCACTTTATTGCACTAGTAAAAAACCTCATTATGACACTGAAATTAGTAGTAGGTAAAATAATCGAAATACAAAATAACAACAATATTCAAGTATTGGAAAGGAATATTCTCCGTGAAGAGGTGCGATAGATATTTTTTTAATATGAAATACTGACATTATTTTTGCTAACTCTATCAGCCCTCTATCATTATGAATATATACAGTATGATGCAAATGTATGGAATAAATTCATTTCAAAACAAGACGACTTTCGAAAAAAAACCAAAAATTAGAGTTTAGAACTTTTTTTTCGACGTATTTCGATGTTCAATTCTCCGTAGCAGACCTCTGCAAGATTCAATTAATCACATGATAATCCATTTTAATTTCAATCTTCTTGTGCAACATTTTGACTGTTGAATAGACGATCGGTAGACCTTTCAATCAAGGTGTCACATGACCCCTATTTGTATTTGAAAAAATCGTCCATTACGTCTTTACTCCAACACCGGTGACGTTACATCTCTCATATGAATATCATGAGATGAGGCTTCAGAAATTAAAACTCACGTGTTTTTGGAATTTTTTCAAATGTCGCCTATTTCTGAAATAATGAATTTATTCCATACATTTGCATCATACTGTATATAAAAAAATGGATACATATAAAGAAATACATTGAGAATTCGCATTCTCTATCAGATAAAAATACTATATCCTCCTCTTGGATGTTCAACAAATATAATTCAATGTTCGACTTGGCCAATAGCCAGGAAAGTAGTTGTTGAATGTTGAATATACCAAGAAAGAATTAATATTTTTATGGGATAGATAATGCGAATTCTCGATGTATTTTTTATATGTATCCATTGTTTTCTTGTTTATATAATATATCTGATAATATTCCTGTTCAATACTTTGATACCCAATCAAGGGGTTATTTTTACAGACCTCTAATCACAGATTCGTGATTGGATTTGTAATATGAATAATAATTTGTCATACATCTAAAGGAATTAAATTTGAATATAACAGTGTCTTTTAAGAGTTTGGATATATGTCCGGATATACATATGTATGAATGAGTAGTAATCCACCAATGCTTTTCTCATCTTTCACCTGCACCTTATGAATTTGATATTTCAATATACTGGGTGCTCTAGAAGGCTGAAAGGTATAGACAGGGTCATGATCAGCCTGTTGACAAAATTTCAGAATGGTAAAAATGTCTTAAATTTGTGATGTTCCTTGTGTGCTATTATCCTTCACCACCGACGAAAATCGTTGTGCCAATTGTCGAATATGAATATTTACAATCGTAGGCTGTATAGTGTTTACTCTAGTAAAAAACTGAGAAAAAACTATCGATAAGTGAGCCCACTATAGCTAGTTCCCATCATTGCTCTGACTAATTTCAACCCATTCACAACATGTTACACCAATTAATTAAATACTGTACACTTATATACAGGGCAATTTATAAAAACAGTTCGTTAGCTGAATTGGACAGTAGAGTGAAGACAATAATAGGGCAGGTAAAAAATCTCACAGTTGACTCCACCAAAACTACTTATTTTAAACAATTGTCAGCGAATAGGTTACAAAGAATTACTAAAATAAGACAAAAATAAGAAATCATGTCAGACATACATTCAAACAATGAGAGTTTAAATTGCTTCACCTGTTCTTGTTGATAGATATGAGGCTTGGGAAATAAAACATGTCTACTAAGGTGACATTTGTCAACTGGAGAGTCATGGTCTGACATAGACATCTTTCAGCTTGATGTTGCTTCTTGTACACTCTGTATATTATGTATCTTAAATTATCATCACAAAATACATTTTTTTCAAGAGGGTTGATAAAAATCACTATTTTTCAGAGGAGACGACAGTACCTTGAACTATGTAGAAGGGTCATGAGAAACACAAACTATGAAGAACATAGACACAAAATCGACGATATATTGAAATGTTTCACTCGAATTTTTTGCGAAGAGAACGATCTGAGTAAATTTGACCAGAAACTAGTCAGGGAGATATCCAACGAATTTCCACATATGTTCAAATAAAATGATGCTCTCTTCGCTGTAATGTTCTGTACATATTTTATATTTTTTTATTAGTTTATTTTTTATACAAATATGAAATTGCTTCTGCTTTTTCGATTAGCGTTTTACTCTTTTGCTGAAAGCACCAAGGATCAAATGAATTATTTCATTGGAGTTGTTTCGATTTTTTTCATCGACTGTTTTAATAATAGAAGAGGTATTCAACTTGATTCAGATTTTTTGTAGCTGATGCAGATTTATTTATTGTAGTTGAAATGCTTCTTGTGAAAGTTGCACTAAGGCTAAGATAGGTTCTGCATATTATTGAACTAGTTTTCAAAATGACGGACGCAAACTTCTTTACTTATTTGAAATGAAATATAATGTATAATATTGCATATTCTAGACTCACTCCTTTTTTATAGCATTATGTGAAATGTTTGCCTTTTTGAAACTATACAGGGTGATTAATTCATAATGGATTATCTCTGAACTACAGACAGTAAACACCAATATGAAGGTTTAACTAAAATTAGTTTCAATTTTTTTCCTCAAATTTGGTCGAAAATTTACTTAGAAATTCTGTTTGCCGTTTTTTTTATCGCTTGGAGCGCACGAAAAGGAATCCCTATAATGATCAAAATGATATTGGTGGAACATAAATCTCTTCAATAGCGATTAACGCAAAAATCGTTTAATAAATGCTTGGGGATCTTGTTCAAAAAATAATTTCAATAAAATATCAACATTATATAGAAAATCGTTAAAAGTATTGTATCGTCTCCCATTTGATACACCAACCAATCAATTGTTTGAAATAACAAATACGTATTCTTTAGATGAAATATTATATAGAATTGAAACTCTTGAAATATCATATAATATCATAAATGAAAAATTGAAGTCGAATTTTATTTTGATACGGAATTCTGAAATTCATAATCATGAAACTAGACAATATAATTTGTTTCATCTTGACGCCGCTAGCTCCATTATCGGTCAAAAAAGATTCACTCATTCAGCCTTAACTGAATTCTATATACTACCTGACAATATAAAAAATTGCAGAAATATAGGTACATTCAAGTGAAAAAACTGATTATTTCTGAGCAAACTGGATAAAATTAATCATGCCATTTTTTTTACAAATATTATTCTTTGTTTGTCAATTTATAGTTGTTGGTATATTTTGAATAATGATATGTTTACCTTTAGGTATATAATTATGTACTTCCTTATACCAGAGCCAATTCTGTCTGGAAGTTATTTGTTCAATAAATAAATAAATAAATAAAAATAAATGAATAAATAAATTCCTATCAGGCATGTGGGGCTTATAATACGAATATTGAAAAATATATACAATAATGCGACTTTTCAAGTGAAAGATAATTTTAATCGGTTAACCAAGCAATATCCGGTGGTGGAGGGAGTATTGCAGGGTGAATGTCTTAGTCCCTTGCTGTTCTCACTATTTACAGCCGACTTAGAAAATTTTTTCAGAGAAAACGGAGCAGTAGGAATCAACATCGATGGCAAGTTAGACATTAATATGCTCAGTTATGCGGATGACGTAGTTATATTGAGTACATCTGAGATAGAAGTAGCCCGTAAACTGAACATATTAGAGAAATATTGTGAAATAAACAAATTAAGTGTAAATGTGTCCAAAACTAAAATACTCTGTTTCTCGAGAGGCGGTTATAAATTGAGCAGACCATACCGTTTCTTATATAAAAATAAAGAAATCAATATGGTGAAAGACTATTTGTATTTAGGTGTGAAATTTAACTCTTCAGGCCTGTTCAGAGAAATGACAAACTATACCATTGCAAAAGTTGAGCAGTCTACTGGGGCTGTCATAGGTATAATGGCTCAAGCTAAGATAAACTCGTGGCCTGCACGTATCAAATTATTCGAAACCCTTGTGGAAAACTGCTTCACTTTTTGTTGCCCAATATGGTCTTTGCGATATTTAGATTTATTGGAGAAAGTGCAAACAAGGTTTTTCAAAAGACTTCTACTCCTTCCCAGAAACACACCGGATGTTCTTATTCGCGTTGAAACAGGTAGAGTGAAAGTTGCACTTGTTGTATTCAAATGCCTATTAAATTGGCTACAAAAGCTACTTATCATGGAAAGTAACCGTTGGCCTAAAATATGTTTTAATAGACTGAGTCAACTACAATCTGGAGACCTCCGATATAACTGGGTTGTTCAATGTAAAGCGATTTTTGCCGATATTGGGTCTATCGATATCTGGGAAAATATCAACTTACACTATCTGAAAACTAACTTCCAAAATTTAATTGTAAGATACTCAGACAAATTGCACTATGAAGATCTAGCTAGGATCACTCTCTCCAAGTACTCGCCAATTTTTAATTATTTGACAACCTCCAGAAACCCGCAGAGGTATTTAAGTTTAAAGTGTCCAATTAACCTGATCAGAACAATGACACAAACACGGCTCTGTTCTAAATCAAGCATTAGATATTATATCAAGGGGTATTACTATATTATTAAACAAGATGAAATTTGCACCTGTTGCAATATGCAGGTGCTAGAAACATTGGAACACATTTTTATTTCCTGTCCTATCTATGAATGTTTCCGACCACATGCACTCAAAACAATGAACAATCTGAACGATTTATGTACCTTCTTCGACTCCTTAGATTTACAGAGGGTAAAAATCATTTCCTCATATGTTAACAACATGCTTAGACTTAGGTCATTCATCTGGAATGAATAGGTTTTTTGTTTTTTTTCTTTTTTGTATGGGCTTATATTCACATTATGTTAGGTACCTTCATATTTATATTTAGCTAATGTATCTTTTTTTTTTCTCTGTTAAACATTGTACAAAAATTAGTAGGATTATACTATAACCATGCACTAGCAATTAGGAGAACACTACTATCATATTAAGTTACACTTATTATATTTTTTCTTCTGCCGCAAGCTAAACCCTTGCTATATGTATATATTTACATGGAAGCAATATAATATTTCTATTCTATTCTATTCTCTATTCTATTCTAGTTTCCATTTTACTATCTGTAGTTCAGAGATTTCCCATTAATGAATCACCCTGTATATTTCATGGTTGCAATTCCTTTTCATTGCACTTTGAAATGCTATGCAATAAGGAAATAAGGAAATCATTCCTATATTATCATATTATGCAGATCAACATCAAATGAAACTCATATGAAGCATTTTTTCTCTTCGAAATTCTATCATTGCATGAGCTACAGACGAATCCGTCTTCAGTGAGATACCCTGTATATAGTGTCGCCCATTGGAAAGCGGACATCCCTTTTGAATTTCAATCCATGGTTTGATTTTGACACACATTTTTTTCTTAATTGAACATCATGAAAAACTGTTCACCATTGGGTTATTGAATGTTTGGGGTGTGAAATTTCAAAAAATGATAATTGCGATTTTTTTACGGAAAATCTGCACCACTCAAAGGGATAGTTGTATGGGGATCAATATTTCATATTTGAAAAAAAAAAAATCCAACCATTTCATTCTATCCACCTTAGATACAAATAGACAGGCAGGTAGTGACAGAGTTTCACTCAGTATGGATTTTGGATGGTAACATTTTGTATTTATTTTGATAATAAAAAATGATAAATGAGAGAATCCTCCCGGGCAAGGTTTATGTGTACAGGGTGATTCACCATAAATGTCCCCCCTCTCTAACTCACTTATTTTTGAACCGATTTGAAAATTTAGAAAATAATTTGAAATGATTTTTCAGAATTGTTTTTCCCGTTGCATCAGAAAATTCAGGGTGCTCGGAACAAACGATCAACAGAGTACTACTTGATTTTTTCAAATGGAACACCCTGTATTTCATTGTATTTTTAGATTCTTCCTGAAGAGCTGATTTCATCAATACATCACACTTGGGGTCTAGCTGGAATGATTACAGAGATATAGGGTGTTCAAAATCGAGATTTTTGAACTTTAGGATTTTTCTGTGTCGGAACTATTCATTATTGGTCAAAATGACTCCCATGTTCCTATCTCAACTTTTGATTTACTATCTACTGACATTTAATTGAAACATTTACAGGGTGGTTCGAGATTCAGAATTCTGATCACCCTGTATCTGTTCCAATTATTAAATGTCAGTAGATAGTAAATCAAAAGTTGAGATACGGACATGAAAGCCGTTTCGACCGATAATAAATAGTTTCGTCACAAAATAATCCTGAAGTTGAAAAATCTCGATTTTGAACACCCTATATCTCTGTAATCATTCCCGCTAGACCCCAAGTGTGATGCATTGATCAAATCAGCTTATCAGGGAGAATCTAAGAATACAATGAAAAATAGGGTGTTCCATTTAAAAAAATCAAATAGTACCGTGTAGATCGTTTGTTCCGAGCACCCTGTATTTTCTGATGTAGCGGAAAAAAACTTTATCGAAAATCATTTGAGATGATGTTTCAAATTTTGAAATCGGTTCAAAAATAACTGAGCTAGAGGGGAGGACATTTATGGTGAATCACCCTGTACTTCGACATGCGCAAACGCAATATCTCTGTATAATATGTATCGCACATACTTCTTCAAGGCAGCCTGTTCGAAAAGGAGGGAAAACTATTATTTTTAATGCAATTACACCTGACCTGATTTCCTTTTAGGCTCACGCAACCCTTATGCCTTCGTATTTTCAACTACGCATATCACTTATATTTCATTTTTTGAAACAGGCAGCTGGAATGGAGTCGTATCAAAACGCTTAATTTGCGAACAAATAATGTTAATTAACTTTAATGCATGAAGAAACCGGGAGGATTCTTTCATGTATTGTTTTTTAACATCAAAATATAATATACATAACTAGCTGACCCGGCAAACGTTGTTTTGCCATAAACTTTATTCCTAGAAACATTTTTTTAGAATAATATTCATCAAAGAACTATTATTATTTCATTTCTACTTCTTTTTGGTTCGGCACTCTATATCTCTTCATTTTTTCAAACTACTCTTTATTT